AGCATTAGCTTTTAGGGGACTGTATCATTTTAGAATGCATCAATGTTTTTCAAACTTGGCAACTTTAAGATGTGTGGATTTCAACTCCCAGAATTCCCCAGCGACATCTTAAAGTTGCCAAATTTGAAAAACACCATTCTAACTTTAAGATAGGCATGAGCAGATGTTCTCAGATATGTTGTGCATTGTCCATAAGTAGTTATCAATATTCCACTGCTTCTCAGTCTTTTGGCTAAGATCAAGTGTTTAATATTTCAGATTCCTATATAATATAGTTATATAATATTAAAACTCTTTTGTCTATAACTTTTAACTAGGGCACGGGTTGGCAACCCACGGCTCTGGAGCCGCATGCAGCTCTTTCATCCCTCTGCTGCGGCTCCGTCTCCAGTTGGCTCCACAATTGCTAGGGCTTTTGGTTAGGACAGGTAGAGAAAAAAAGATGCCATGCTAGGATGAGACTCTATGGTGGGGGAACCGGACTTCCGGTCAGCTCCAGAATTGAACAGGGAGCTTCCGGGTTAGGACCTTTGTGGCTCTTTGAGTGTCTAAGGTTGCCGACCCCTGAACGAGGGCAACATTTTTGAACCAAGGTGCCTCAAATAGGCTTATTTACACAAAGCATCCAAATTCTGGGAACCATGTCTCCAATGGGATTGAAATTTGTGCTTGAAATTTGCAAATTTGTGGTCACTTAAGTCTCCCGAGCCACTGCCCAGAGGTTTAGTAGAGTGGTCCTAACCTGGCCCTGTGGAGGCCAGGTAGGCTGGTCCCACCATAGCCTGCCAGAGAGCAGTGAGCTGCAGGCCAAGTTGACAGGAAGTTGGAGGCTTCCCCTGCTCCCACTGCCTTTTTGCCCTTGGTTATTCCATTTCTCTGTTTAGGTAAGGAAATATCTCTGAAATGATGACCCAACAGGGCATCATTCCTATAGCTATTAATCTAAGCAGCAGCCCCTTAGGGACAGAATGGAACATCCTTCAGTTCTGTCTAAGCAAAGAACTGGGAAGTGGATACAAAATTTAGCATTCTAACAACCAGAGCTGAAACTTCAGATGCCATAGAACAGAGGAGGAGGAGGAGAATTTAGCTGAGTTTCAAGTGGCAAGAAGCAAGGACGCTACTGAGCTGAGCTTGAATTCTAGTGAAAACATGAATGCATCTATGCATTTTTTCAATTAAAGAAATGGTCTGCCTTTTGTCTTTTTTCAATATATTTTGCACACTGTTGCACACTAGTTGTTCTGGTGTGTCTAGTTGTTCTGGTGTGCAACATTGCATACCAGAACAGCTAGACACAAGGACAGTTTTTCCCCGCATGCCATCACTCTGCTAAACAACTAATTCCCACAACACTGTCAAACTATTTACTAAGATTGTATTACTATTATTCTTCTTATCCTTCCTATTACCTATCTCCTCCCACTTATGACTACAACCTTGTTGCTTGTATCTTTATGATTTATATTGGTTTATTTAGTTTTATAGTATGATTTGATTGCTTATTTAGTATCCTATGACGATCGCTAAGTGTTGTATCTTATGATTCTTGATGAATGTATTTTTTATGTGCACTGAGAGCTTATGTACCGAAGACAAATTCCTTGTATGTTCAATCACACTTAGCCAATAAATAATTCTATTCTATTCTAAAAAAACAACAACAATGTTTTTTATGGTTTACCCTACAATCCTGGGTTTTCTGTTGGTCCTAACACCAAAAAAAGCCAGTTTGGGGGGAACTAATATGAAAAGAACTGAGCATGATCGGACGTGGTTTTGTAAGCTGCATAGTCTTTTTTTTTTTTGTAACAATCTAAAAGGCAGATTTATAACAACAACAACAACAACAACAATAGCCACCACTAAATCTCAGGGCTACAGTGGATAATGGGAAGTACAAACAAACCAGAAGGCAATAATGGAAAATTGTATTAGTGGAAAAACCAAGTGCATTCACACAGTTGCTCAAGGCATCTTTGTAATCTAATGACAAATTGCAACAATTCAACAAGGTATATCCGCATTACTGATTTACAATGGAAACAAGAAAACCATGCCAGCTTTTTTCATTTCAAACAGTGAGAGAGAGAGAAAGATCACAATACAATTTAAAGCTCTTCAAGTGGTTGAACTCTTCCAATCACATGCTCGGTTGCATTCCATGAAATTAAAATTCTGAAAGCTACTATCTATAACTGCACACAGCATTCCACATTTAATAGCCTGGGGTGTTTCTAAATGGCTTACTGATCTGCAAGAAACACATTTGGCTTGTGCTCCACTCTTTCTTGAAGGCTGCAACAAGCACTTTCAAGCTAAGCAAGTTTTGTTTACCAGTTGATAGGCCACTAACAGCATTTCTGGCTTCATATTTTTTTAAATTAGCAACCTTTTGGTATGAAGTTGCACAAGTTCTGGGACTATCTTATAATTATTGAAAGAGTAACATCTATAGCAGTGTGAGCTTCATGCAGATGTTATTAAGAGAATAAAATTAATTATTGTGGTTTTATTAAGACCTTCTTAGTAGATAGTTTTACAGATAAAATTTAAAATACTTAAGAGACTGGGCTGACATACAGGATTATGCGATACCCTGCCTAACTATGCTTTGCTAAATAAGCCACAACTATCTGGGATCATACCTAATGCTAATCATAAGTGACAGTTTACCAACCACAATGCCTGGGTTAACACAACAGGCCACTTCACACAATGTGGGAACAGTTGCAACATTTATGAAGGAATTCAATAAACTGTTCAAAAAATAGTATTATTTTTGAACAAATGTGTGCTAGACTTCAGTAAACTTTCAACTGCAGTCATAAAAATCCAGAGCATTTAAGTTGTTGGAATTATAATGCCAGGTTTTGCAGTGTTTGTATCACATGACTTGCAATAAATCTGTAAGAACTGAAGACTAGGCAAAAAGCAAAAGCAAAAACAACATTCCCACCACCCCCAAACCCAGCCACAGTGCTTTTCAGACCATTTTTCAGAAAATGTCAGAGGGTGTATTTTTCTTTAGTTCAGTAGTACAGTTTTCATGTAGAAGGGTACGATGTGTGGACTTCAACTCCTAGAGTTCCCTAGACAGTGGGATTCTGGGAGTTCAAATACACACATTTCAGGGGTGAAATGCTCCCGGTTTGGACCAGATCGCCCGATCCGGTAGCGATGGAGGTGGGTGGTTCAGAGAACCAGTAGCAAAAATCCCTGCCCCCCCCCATTGCTCAGCTGAGCCGCGCAATCATCAGAGGCTTTTTTTTTATTTTAAAAGCATTTTTTCTACAATCTCTTTGGCTGAAAAAATGCTTTTAAAAGTAAAAAAAATGCCTCTGATGATCGCGCAGCTCAGCTGGGATCATCAGAGGCTTTTAAAAGCATTTTTTCTACAACCTCTTCAGCTGAAGAGGTTGTGGAAAAAATGTTTTTAAAAGGAAAAAAAGCCTCTGCCGATCAGGCAAGTCAGCTGGGATCGTCAGAAGCTTTAAAAGCATTTTTTTTACAACCTCTTCAGCCGAAGAGGTTGTAGAAAAAATGCTTTTAAATTTTTTTTAAAAAAAGTTGGCCATGCCCACTCAGTCATATTACCCACCACCACCAAGCCACACCCACAGAACCGATAGTAACAAATTTTACATTTCACCACTGACACATTTTAAAAGTTGCCAAATCAAAAAAGCACTGATGGAGAAGATTCAAAATGTAACCCTTTGCATCTCTGTAGAGCAGTGGTTCTCAACCTGTGGGTCGCGACCCCTTTGGGGGTCGAATGATTCTTTCACAGGGGTTGCCTAAGACCATTGGAAAACACATATTTTCAATGGTTTTAGGAATAATTTTATGGTTGGGGGTCACCACAACATGAGGAACTGTATTAAAGGGTCGTGGCATTAGGAAGATTAAGAACCACTGCTGTAGAGCAAGATTGTGCCTTGGACTGTATGGGAGAAGCACTTCGTTTTGAATTGTTAAAGCAGCCACATTATCACATTATTTTAACTTGCATGAACAACAGCAGAGAGGATCTAGAACACTTTCTGAAACAGCCACATGAGCCTGGAAAATAGTGCAAGCTTGGACTATAAGACGGAGCTGCTTTAACATTCTGAAAGAAGATGCTTTATGCAAGCTCTCCTTATTTATGAAGCACCTTTCAGAATCAGAAAGATTATAGAGTGACATTCTGGAGTTGGGAAACAAAACAAAGGTTGGTAAAACAATCTTGGATTAGCTGGATCAAAGGCATGATTTAGTATCAGGCAGATTCCTACAAAGCAGAATTAATCCTATGCAGTGAAGAATGCTTCCTCTGATCACCATTACTCAAAGATATTTAGGAGTTCAAAGGAATGTAGAACCCTCAAATCTCCCCTAACATTATGATTTACAAAATAGGGTTTATGAGTATAGGCCAACTCGTGACCTACAGGCTACATGCAGCTGTCAACCCCATTTGGTTACTGCATCCTACATTGCCCCAATAGGCAAAATATCAGATTTTCAGTGATGAATTTCTACTGTTTTCATTGAAATGAAGCTTAAAAGGGATGCATTAAGCCCAATATTCATTTGGACTCTTAAGGCCTCCAGCAAACCTTGCCCCCCCCCAAAAAAAGCCTAAGGTGAAAATATTTGGCTGTCCATCTGGTGCAGTTAAGGACATGAAGCTTTCACAGATCAACATCGTAATTTTAAAAGTGTGGCCCCTTGGCCAAAAAAGATGCTTATCTCTAGTAGTTTATCTATTCCTAGATATGAAGTGTGACCTAATGAGGTCTACTCAACAAACTCTGGTTAGCAAATCATATGATGATCGCCAAGCAAATGGAATGGCAATAGGACCACAGAACAAAAGTCATGGCCTAAATCAATGCACTGCATGTACCAAACAGCAGCTTAATTGCCCACTTGTAATTGCAACATATCCAGAAGTCAACACAACCTCCACAGAATGGCCTTCTTGGCCATTTCTGCTCTAAATGCGTACTCACCTGGTCGCATCCTACATTCACCAGTTCCTGCAACATTTGTCTATTGACTTCAACAACTGCAGAGGTAGTGCCCAACTCATTAGCAAAGGGCAATAGAGAATATCTGATTTCTCGCAGTGCTTTCTGATAATTTCCAAATTTGGCAGCCGGGCGGATTTGCTGCTGTCTGGCAGCATCTTTTCCTACTAGAATTTTAGAGTCCAGAGAACTTTCACTGCTTGGTCCAATGGGTAATCCCTGACTAGAAGCTTTAGCAGGCTGTTTCAAACCTTCCCGGATTTCCTGTAATCTTTGTCTGCTGTTCCCAGAGTAAGTAGTAGCAGGGAAAGTCTTTGGCCTCATGGTTAATCCAATGTTGTTTCAGCATCAATACCAACTTCTTTTACATATAATCAAAGGGATGTGGATATTCAGTGTTGTTCTTCTGGAAGATATCAGTTTGTTATAAAACATTATTCCCTGAAATCAATTCATAGGTAGGTGGCAAACCTCCATAGCAAATCTTGTCACTTTTCCCAGTCTCTGGTACACAGAAGGATCAATAGTCATGGAGCAGTAGCTGATGTCATTTCTCTTCAGCTCAGTTTTTATGGTTCCTATAGCCAGAGAGAAATTCTAAAAACCTCGTGGTGTTTTTAACAAAATAACAGAGTTGGAAGAGATATTGGAGGCTTTCTAGTCCAACCCCCTGCTCAAGCTGGAAGCCTATACCGTTTCAGACAAATCTCTTTTTTTCTCTCCAGTGTCTGAAAGAAAAAAAAGAACAAAGATACTGTTACACAAGTCGCTTTTACTTTAATTTTTTTTTTCTTAAGGTATTCAAAAAAATCTGGAATTACCTTGTTTTTATTTATATAGTAATTTTTTTATAAAACCAAAATCAATAAATAATAAAAGATTAAAACTATGCAGGATATAAAGCAACCTCAGAGTTAGATTCAACTATAAAATTTCACATTACACCAATTCAGCACTAAACACAGCTTTTTTTAAAAAAAAAACCAACCTCATATAAGAAATTCTTAATCTTTTTGTTTAATAACATTACATGTTAGGGGGAGTTGATTAGAAGGAAATTCTAAAGAAATGAAATAACAAAAACAGTCAGTTCAAGGTTGAAAGTAAAACAAGGAACCTGATGTTTAAAAGCTGATCTATGAAGACTCAATCACTGCACAAATCACTTATGGGAGCTTCCCAAAGAAAATGATCATGAGAATTTTTCCCCCCTTCATATTGTCTTCAGTTTAGGGGAAGAATATTGGAATCATTTCATCAATGGCAATAATGAGAGAACCCACAGGAATGGATCCAATGCCTTTACAAGTCATTGGGTTCATTTTTCTGATCTGGAATTGTTTTTCCAGCAGTTGAGAATGGGCACCGACTTTTATAGTTTAAAGTCTGCAACACAAAATGAACAGGAGTGGGGGAAAGGGCAAGTTGCTCAAAAGCAAGTTATGGGGGAATGGAATGTAGTGGGGACTGAAGCGTGATGAGATAAACTGCTATGCAGCAAGATGACCATGAAATTTGCATTCCTCCACCTCGCAACATGGTACAATAGGTGAGTCATAATACTCATAAACATATACAGTAGTGGCCAAAATTGTAGAAACCTTGTATTTTTGAGGTTTGATGGCTAATAACACCACTTTTTTTTTTGAGTTTCAAGATAATCATATTACACTGCTGGAATGGCCTGGGAATAGCCCAGATCTTAACCCAATGAGCCGACTACAGAAACTTGTTAGTCAGAAGCAACCCAGCAACAAAACCCAGTTAATAGAAGCAATCATTCAATCAATCTTGGTTTCACATTATAACAGCTGTAGAACTAAAAGACTTGGTTCACTCCATGGGAAGACGTTGTAAAGCCGTAATTCATGCTAAAGGTTACCCAACTAAGTATTAACTGACGTGATAATTTTGGTATATCTTGTTTTTTCTATGGTGATAATTTTTGTATATCTCGTTTTTTCTAAGTGTTTCACTTTCCTAATTGCAGTAACAGAAGGATAGCACGAGAAATGATGTAGGAATAGCACTTTGACTTATCTACTGTTCCATAGTGCTTTATACTAGCACTCTCTGAGCGATTTACAACATCAGCATATTGCTGCTCTATACAGCACTGGTGAGGCCACACTTGGGAGTATTGTGTCCAGTTCTGGTCACCATGGTACAAAAAAGATCTGAGGCCCTAGAAAGAGTGCAGAGAAGCGCAACGAAGGTGATAAGGGTCTGAAGCTAAACTGTACAACGATGATTAAGGGAACAAGGTATGTTTAGCCTAACAAAGAGAAGCTTATCGGTTACATGATAGCTGTCTTCCAACACTTGAAAGGCTGTTATAGGGAAGAGGAAGTAAATTTGTTCTCCAAAACACCTGAGGGCAGGACAAAAAGCAATGGGTAAAAGCTCATCAGAGGGAGAACCAACCTGGAACTAAGGAGGAATTTCCTGAGAGTGAGAACGACTAATTAATGGAAGAGGCTGCCTCCAGAGTTATGGGTGCTTCATTGCTAGAGGTTTTCAAGAAAGATTGGACAACCATTTGTCTGGAATGGTATAAGGCCTCATCCCATGAGGGGGTTGGAACTAGAAAATTTCCAAGATCCCTTCCAGCCCTATAATTCAATGATTCTATGACTCAGGATCCCTAATTTCAAGCCATGTGGTATTTTATTTCTTCTGTGCTGCAACCTACAGTATGTATTTTCAGCATTTTGATGCTCTCATACAATTCCCATTTACCAGTACTTATAAAGGAGATTGTTCCAGAGTCAAATGCATGGTTAGGATCCCGATACTAAATTCTTGAGCAAATGTATACAGAACTTTATCTTTCAATTAAAAACAAAAAAGAATCTTTGCAGTTCTATTAAGACTTATATGTTCACTTTCATTATTATACATTCATCATAATTTCTGGAGCAGAGGAGATTTTCCTGCAGCCAATTTAATTTAATATAATAGCAGGCAGCTTAGAAATAATATTGATTATTAAAGCCTTGGAAGCAGGAAATATGCAAAACAAAATTAAGTATTTAAGCATTTTTCCTCTCTATCCATGCTGCAGAATGGGAATAAACCACAACCATTTCTGTCTTTGGAAAGAAGGTATATTTTCATTCCAGTTCTTACAATTCAGATTTTTTTGCAAAATGGAAAGCCCCTTTTCTTCTATAAATAGCTACAACAACCACATGTACCCTGGAAGAAGATCAGTTACACACATTTATTTTACAATAATTGAGTATAGATATTAAATTTTAAGGGGGCACATATTCCTCTTCCAAATCACCAATTAAAATGTATTAAAAAGTACATATAGGTACTGCAATAAACTATAATATAAACTATTAAATCTAGTTCTTTAAAAAAAATCAAAAACTCCTTCAACTCATACTTGACTCTTGTAAGTCCATACAATTTTGTTGGTGATAATACGAAGATATTTTGTCATTCCCTTCTTTTTGGATGTTTTTTCAATTAGTCCAAAGCCCTCATGGCATTCACTAGGAGTTTGTTCTCCATGTAAAATGGCCCAATTCAACTTAGCTTCTCAGCCCAGACAAGAGTCATCAAATGTTGTTATCTGCTGAAACGTAATGTCTGGGCAAATTTAAAAAGTACATTGACGTTCTGAAATCTAATATGCATTTTAATTCATTTCAAAACAGATTAAGAGGAACATCTGGGAATAGAATGTACTCATCAGGTCTAGATAGATGTAGTTTAGGACTTACTGTACAGCAACAAGAATTCTTGACTTCCAATGTTTTAGCATTACTAAATTACTAAATAAACCATTTTTAAAAAAGTTTCTGACATGGGGAGCAACCCGATATGAGAGCAAGCAACGGAATTTCATTTTTAATGTGTGCCAGTGTACTCACAGGAAAAAAAAGTGACAATAAGGGTTATCTTATCTTATTCGTAATCTTTGACCAGGTCTTTAGAAAAATCTCCTGAATACTTTGAAAAGTGCATGTTAGAATTCCTGATCAGTTGTTGACTCAGATACAGATTTGTATATTCGATGTAAGATTCATAGGTTGACATTTCCCCATCCTTCCATTTACTTTTTACCTAGCTGAGCTCTGCATCCAAATTTGGGATTCTAAGAAAATTACATAATCCCCATAAACCACAGCTTTTCTGATTATTTCCAGCACTGGATTCAATCACTATGACATTCATGCAAGATCAGAACAGTTATGATATTTTAGAATTGCATGGACTTCTTGAAAAGGTTTTGTACCTCCATGAGTTAAGGAGCTATCAAAGAAATATGAACATTAAACAGACAGAATGTTTAACTAGATCCCACTTACAGCCAAGAAACTTTAGAAAAGGAGGAAGACTTGACAATATGATACAGATACCTTTTTCATTGTTTATCTTGACTACTTAAAGCCTTTTACGCTGAATCTGGCAATTACAATAGTATCTAGGGGCTAATGTATAACTTATATGTGGTAACCCTCACCTTATAGTAATTTACTAAGATTCGCTCAGTAGAATACAGAAAGCCATATCTGACATTAAATGAATTTCATAAAGCTCCTTATCATAATTTCCACCAGAGGTAAGGAATCTTACTTTGTATGCTGCAGGAAAGACCTAATTCTTCAGCAAAACAATTACTTAAAACAGCAGATGCTGAAGAGTGAGAATTGGGCAGAGCTGTGTGTCCTATATGACTGACCCACACTTTTAGAGCCTACAACAGAGGTAGACATCTCCCTGCTCTCCAAGTGCCTTTGATTTGTGTGGGCTTGTCTGTGCTATGTGTTGTGTCCTTTTGCATACCTTACTCTATGAGTGATGCTTCCAAGAGATGAGATTTTTCTTTCTGCAGACAGATTATGCTGGATCAAAGGTGATGTCTTTAGGGACATGTGGGAATGATTTGCACCCAAGATATTGCAGTAGTTTGTCTGTATTAAGGTCACATTGGGACAGCTGGGTTGTTACTTAACTTTTTTTTTCTTCCAAGGTGCCAAGAGAATTGTGCAATGTTTTGCTCTCTCCATATGTCAAACACACAAATGAATGTAATATAGCAGCAATTAGAATGCCATTAAACTGATTTGGCAAATTTGCAAATGCAAATTGCAGAATAGTGTAGCATAGGGCTTGTGGTGGGGGGGGTGTCATGGAAGGGCAAGGTGAGAAACATCAGATAGGGGACTACGTGTAAAGTTTCCTGTTTTAAAACAGGGCATATTACCTAGATTGGTAACGAAGACCCTAAATGCTCTTTGCATATTATATTACTGTACTGAGTTGTTAAATTTCTGACTGCATAGTATTTTTTTCTGTGGCAGATTGCTTTGGGAATATTTCAATTCTAGTTTCCAGTGAAATAAAGCTATGTGCATTAAAATAGTCTTCCTGGAATTCCATTAGCAATCCGTGAAAAGTAAATGATCTTATTATTGTGTATGCTTCTTACTAATATGAATAAGAAACTAATGAAGACAAATTCTATATGTTGTATTTTAAGAGTCACTATTACTCTTAACTGGTTGAAGCTATAGATAGAGAAATCTATCATAAATTAGTTCTGTGGAACTGGCATATTTCTTAACCTTGGTCAGTTTTGTTGGCCTAAACCAGTGGTGGGTTCCTCCTGGTTCGGTCCGGTTCGGCTGAGCCGGTAGCGGTGACAATATGACATCACCGAACCGGTTCTCCCCCCTGCCCTCCCACCCCCCACACGTTATTCTTACCTTTT